CAAAGTTGCCGTACACAATGACCTGTTTGTTGAAATAAAAGTGATAAAACCCTTCCCATACTCATGAGAAATCAAATGCAAGTTGATTGTACCATTCCGACTATGTCACGCACATGTGTTTATGAGTGAGTGAGTTGGGTTTTACAACGCTTTTAGCAATTTTCCAGCAATATCTTGGCGAGGGACACCAGAAATGGGCTTCACACATTGTACCCATGTGTGGAATCGAACCCGGGTCTTCAGTGTGATGAGTGGACACTTTAACCACTAGGCTACCAGACCACCCCACATGTGTTTATGAACCTGTGAATCAGTAGAATGTCAGCACATCCTGCCCCACCAGTTGCACCTATCACAAACACAAGGCTGGTCACAGCCAAGAGTGTCCCCACCCATGAAGATCCCAAGTTAGAATTGGTCTTCAGCAACCAGAATATTGCTTGTCCCCTCACCCATGAAGATCAATGTTGCCTTGATGTTAGTTACTTCCCTTAGTTGGTCTTCAGAGCAACCATGCTTGTCCCCACCCATGAAGATCCCAGTTAGAATTGGTCTTCAGCAACCCTTGTTACCCATGAATTGGTTAGACATGGTCTTCAGCAACCATGCACCCATGCTTGTCCCCACCCATGAAGATCCCAGAATGTTAGAATTGGTCTTCAGCAAACCATGCTTGTCCCCACCCATGAAGATCCGGTTAGAATTGGTCTTCAGCAACCATGCTTGTCCCCACCCATGAAGATCTCGGTTAGAATTGGTCTTCAGGTTAGAATTGGTTTCAGCAACCATGGTCTTCCCATGAAACCAGAATGGTCTTGTCCCCACCCATGAAGATCCCAGTTAGAATTGGTCTTCAGCAACCATGCTTGTCCCCACCCATGAAGATCCTTGTCCCCACCCATGAAGATTAGAATTGGTCTTCAGCAACCATGCTTGTCCCCACCCATGAAGATCCCAGTTAGAATTGGTCTTCAGCAACCCATGCTTGTCCCCACCCATGAAGATCCCAGTTAGAATTGGTCTTCAGCAACCATGCTTGTCCCCACCCATGAAGATCCCAGTTAGAATTGGTCTTCAGCAACCATGCTTGTCCCCACCCATGAAGATCCCAGTTAGAATTGGTCTTCAGCAACCATGCTTGTCCCCACCCATGAAGATCCAGTTAGAATTGAACCTTGTCCCCATGTTAGAATTAGAATTGGTCTTCAGCAACCATGCTTGTCCCCACCCATGAAGATCCCAGTTAGAATTGGTCTTCAGCAACCATGCTTGTCCCCACCCATGAAGATCCCAGTTAGAATTGGTCTTCAGCAACCATGCTTGTCCCCACCCATGAAGATCCGGTTAGAATTGGTCTTCAGCAACCATGCTTAGAATTGGTCTTCAGCAACCCCATGAAGATCTTGTCCCCACCCATGAAGATCCCAGTTAGAATTGGTCTTCAGCAACCATGCTTGTCCCCACCCATGAAGATCCCAGTTAGAATTGGTCTTCAGCAACCATGCTTGTCCCCACCCATGAAGATCCCAGTTAGAATTGGTCTTCAGAAACCATGCTTGTCCCCACCCATGAAGATCCCAGTTAGAATTGGTCTTCAGAAACCATGCTTGTCCCCACCATGAAGATTGGTCTTCAGCAACCATGCTTGTCCCCACCCATGAAGATCCCAGTTAGAATTGGTCTTTCACAGTCCATCCTTGTCGTTAAAGGAGAACTATGGGTATTTGGTCATCCAGCTTGCTGTCTTGGATGATCCGGGTTAGAATTGGTCCTCGTCCATCCATGCTTGTCATAAGAGGCGACTAACAGGATCGGGTGGTCAGGCTCGCTAACTTGGTTGACACATGTCATCGTATCCCAATTGCGAAGATCGATGCTCATGATGTTGATCACTGGATTGTCTGGTCCAGACTCAATTGTATACAGACCACGGCCATAGAGCTGGAATATTGCTGAGTGCGGCTGCAGCTCAAACAGCAACCAACCAACTAACTACGATCAAACAAATGTATGACTCTTCTGAATAGACACATGCAAGTTTACCTTCAAGCAAATCATAACATTGGGTTAAAAAAGAATGAAAAAAGCAACTAATTAACATATCTCTACCATACTATTAGCTCAAAAGAAACCAAACAAGGACACACTTCAATTTAGCTTCATAAGAAAGCAGGTAGACCTAAACCATTACCCGAGTTGGACAAAAGTTTAACCTATAGATAAATGTCAGGGTTATTTCTCTACAGCAGAAGAAAATCAAATAAGAGGGTTATTTTCACCTGCTGAAGATATTCCAAATGTAGGCTGATCTGTTAAAATCTCTGTAGGATATAGACTCTCATGGTAGTTTGAGACAGACTTGGCACTCTCTATTCCAGCGCTGGAAATGTTGACCTTCAAGGTTGCCAATGTATGTTGACAGCAGATTAGCTTTAAAAAATGTTTTAAAGTAGGTCAGGATATCTATCAATTTTTAAATATTTAAATATAGAAGTGCAACAAACAGCTATAGTGTGGCCATTGTTGAAGCAGATTCAATTGTGTAGCATTGTTGAAAAGATCCGGACTACGTTCGTGTGATATCGACACTGAGACATCTGTCAATTTTTAAGTATGTAAATATATAATGTTAACACGAGAGAATAATCTGTCTCAATTATCTGCCAAAACAGATTACATTTGGCGAAAACGTCTTAATGGTGGTGACCATTATATGAATGGATCATCAAAAGATGAATGGATGCCAGGTGTTCTCTACAAAGACTAACCATGCCCTGCTCTACCGGTTGCACCTGAAATTTACACAATAACTAAAGGAGAAAAAACTTGTAATGTTATCATAGTGGTAATTTAATAGTGTAATATTGGCCGGAAGTTTCTGAATATATGTTGGTGTTATGTTTTCGTGATGAGACCAATGTTTGATATGTTTCTCGAAGTTTCTGAATATGTATTGTATCAACTGTTTGAGAATATCTGGTATCACTATTGTTTAATGGTGATACATTAACCCATGTTTATAGTACAGTCATAATCATACAAGGGCTTCCATCAGAGATTTCTTACAAATATGGTAATGTTTTGCTCATGTTCATTGCATGGATAGTTCACTTTCACCTTTGCGAAGTATTTTGGACCCTACCCTTGTTTGTCTGCAATCTTTAAGGCAAGACAGATAATTTATAGATAATCATTTCTCCGCCTCTTCCCAAACAAAAAATGACCACATATAAAAGATGGTTTCATTGTGAGAAAGGAAACAGTGATTCGGACAACAAATAAACAGTTTGTTGTGGCCTAACCTGTATTTTTCTGTTTTATAGTGAACATATACTATTAAATCTAGACTGAGTCCTCTTTAATGTATTTAGGTAAAAAGGTCCAGATATGTGAAATTTAGCAAGGAGAGGTCTCAGTTACACCGGTGAGAGGTGAGTAGTTGTCAGGAAGATGGTACTGACAATACAACCAGGCACACACTGCTCCAGTGTTAGGGCTTAAAAGCTATGGAGGGCTTAAATACTGTCCTCTCAATAAAGCATGCCAGGTATATGTCAGGGTGAAGCAAAGAAAGAACCTTTGACTGACTTGCAATCATAAGATTTTAAAAACATACTGTGGACTGCTGAGAGTGTGTATTGAATGAGACTTCATCTAAACATTGAATGACGGTATGGTAAATCTCTTCTCTGCTTACTGAGAAGGCATGGAGATTTATGGATCAGAGTTCAGGTTATGGGTATATACACAGTAATTGATGGTTGAATTCACCAGAGGAAAGTATTCAATTGAGATCTTCATGTATTTGATGTTATTTTAAAGTTCGTATTTGTAGTTATTTTCTCCGTATGTTTAGTCAAGAGTGATAAAGAATCTCCTTGGACAAATTTATGAAACTTTCCAATATATTTTCAAGGATGTATGAGCTCATTTTAAAGTTTTTTGTTGGATGAATTGGTTAAAGTTGATTAGATGTGAGATTTGTAGGCAAACAATTTTTATTTACCGTTTCTGATGAGCATGATAAAGTGTCATAAATAAGCCAAAAACATTTTTCCAATATTATTGCTTATTTATTTTTGTCCAATGTTATTGCATAGTTGTTTTTTCAATATTATTACAGTTTTTTTTCCCAATGTTATTACATAGTTATTTTTCTAATGTTATTACGGTTATTTTCCCCAATGTTATTACATAGTTATTTTCCCCACAATGTTATTACATAGCTATTTTCCCCAATGTTATTCCATAGTTATTTTCCCCCAATGTTATTACATAGTTATTTTTCCCAATGTTATTACATACTTGTTTTTTCTAATGTTATTACATAGTTATGTATTATCTGAGTGATGGTAATTTGAGTAATAGCAATAAATTGTAAACACTTGAAATATACAAAGACTGTTATGTGTGTCAAACTTACTTTTGTCCCTGCATGTTCTATATTCGGCTTGTGTCAAACCTTAGATAATTCAAAGTAATTACATAGTTCCCTTCAACAATGGTGTTTCAGTGAATATTCCCTTTAGATTTTGATTTCTTGTTTTATTCTGAATTTGAGAGAAGATGCTTCAGGCAAAATCTCCTGTGTTAATGTTCCAGGATTGTAATATAAAGTGAGTGAGTGAGTGAGTATAGTTTTTAGTTACTCAGCAATATTCCAGTTATACGGCAGCGGACTGTAAATAATCAAGTCTGGACCAGACAATCCAGTGATCAACAGCATGAGCATCGATCTACGCAATTGGGATACGACCCAGTCAACAAGCCTGACCCCCCGATCCCTGTTAGTCGCCTCTTACGACAAGCTTGGGTTACTGTGGGTCAATTCTAACCTGGACCTTCACAGGTTGTAATATTAAGTAATCAGACAGACATTTGATGAAGGTTCCTGGGAAATTTACCATGATCAATGTTCTCATCAACTCTCATAACTTTATTCACATTGACAACCATTCCTACCTCAATATTCAGAATTTGTTTTGTTTTTTCTTTACCAGGTACCAGCTTATGAGAGACTGCTGGAAGAGTGACCCAAAGAAACGCCCAAGTTTTTCTGAGATAGGAGAGAGAATTGACACCATGATCGCAGAATGTTCAGGCCAGGAATACCTTGACCTTCAACTTGATGAGTGTCAGGGCTACTATCAGGTGCAGAATTCTGATGAAGAAGAGTCTGATGGTGAACTGAGAATGGATATCCATGATGTCCCTGGTGGTGGGAACGAGCTCCAAGAAGAAGATGGGGAGGAGGAGACATCTGAAAATAGAGCGAAGGAAACAGATGGTACTCTGACTGCAGAGGTGAAGAAGCTTGATGAGGAGATTGAGCAGGACCACCATGACAGAGATGCTAATGAAGGACAGTTATGGGCTACTTCATCTCCAGTAATGTGTGACAGATTGAGAGTAGCAGTCTCACACCCAGAGGATGAAGAATTTCTCACTATCCCAAAATTCATCTCAGAGCTTGGAAGTTTCAAAAGTGAAAGATCTAGAGGTGGTTCCAGGAAGGATGATAGGAAGATTCCAGCAAAACTCCAGCTGATGGAGAAACTACATGAAGCTGGTAGAAGGGAGGACAGGGAGTCAGACAGCTCTCTAAGTCCTTTGTCGGATGAGGTCTTCTCAGATGGTCTGTATACAGCACCATATTCATACCTGCAAACACCGGACCATGATTGTCTTCCTGATAGCGATACATCACCAACCAACTCCGAGATATCAGACAACGTCTTCAACACTGATTCCAATGAAATGTCTCACCAGTGTCACCGTCGGTATGAGAGGACAACCTCTGAAATATCAACCACCAGCATTGATTCTGGCTTCCCTCAGAGTCCTCTACAGACTGACTTCCCAGGGTACTCCCCCAAAACAGGGTACTCCTTAGGATATTCCCGCAGCAGACTAAACTCCCTAGGGCATTACTGCAACAGACTGGACTCTCTAGGGTACACTCGGAGCAAGATCGACTTTGGATACTCTCCCCGGTACAAGCAAAAGTACAGTAAGAATGCTTCAAGAAGTCCCCAGTTAGTGTCCTCTCTGGGTCAGTTGAGGAGGTTGACCAGACACACCTCCATGTCTTCTGGGGGGATGTCTTCCTTCTGTTGCAGACCATGATGAAGATCTTCACACTTCAAGCCTGTAACAAGGTGAATAAATATTGTCACTCAACGTTGTGTGGTGTTTGCCTGTCAACTGCTTATAGGTCACATTGTTATTATGAGAAGTGATGCTAGTCGTAGGGCATTATATGCTTAACTTCATGAACACTTTCTGTCACCATTGCAACTTACTATAGTGAGTTTGTTTGGGCTGCTACACATATGCTGCTTTTAGATAGTTTGGATTTTCTTGTAATTTTAGAGGTATGAGTAATTTCTAAACCCAAAGGATTTGTGGTTTTAGCCTGATTTCGCTGCTCATGTCTTCATTGGCATTAGATGGCATAATCTTTGAGTTTGAATCATAGATTCAACTTAATTGTGATTCTAATTTTTTCATTAGTTATAAACAACTAAGACACGCATCACTACCACCTTTCCTCTTACAACAGGTTATCAGGACGTGATTTAACAAAAGCAGGATTAAACCCATCACACCTCACTCACTCACTGACGCACTATTAATGGCATCCATCATTTCCAGGGTTATATATTTTTTGTTCTGGGTGCCATAATGCAAATCAGATTCAACACTGTGACTCGCGTAAGGTTTACTTATCGTTGAAGTTGCAAAGTACAACGACAACCTGGTCCACCTGTCATAAATTCGGCCTAGTATTTTAGTCTGATTTTAAAATCAACAACAAATAGCTTTGTGTATCATTTTGCAATATTTTCCCCATTTTTTGTGATTGACAGACGCTTATACAGGGTTACTATTTGTCATATACTATCTAATATTTTGGGTTGATTGTTGTAAATTAAGACTGACACCCGTATTAATAACAGAAAGTAAAGGACGCATATGACCATATGTTTGAAGGAGGTTTAATAGATTTTGACCACCAAAACAAAGCACCTTACCCCTAGAACGTCCGTTACAATGGAGATTTCAAGTATAAACCCTTTATGGCTTAGGGGCGGTGGGGTAGCCTAATGGTTAAAGCGTTGGCTCGTCACGCCGAAGACCCGGGTTCGAATCCCCACATGGGCACAATGTGTGAAGCCCATTTCTGGTGTCCCCCGCCGTGATATTGCTGGAATATTGCTAAAAGCGGCGTAAAACCAAACTCAGTCAGTCAGCCTTTATGGCTTAGATAGGTTTAGATAATAGAAACAGAACATCTCCCGTAATCATAGGAAATATATTAGACGGTTCCGACTACAACGTGATCAGGTATAAATCAAACCAATATGTCATCCTACTAGTTTCGATGACGATAACGCCCATTTGAATAATATGTCAGTCATAGCGCAGTGTGTCAGTTAAAAGTAGCTCAACACCTGATGAAACTCATGGCACTGTGTCGTAATGCATGGATCTAGTGATTCTTTGAAACTAAGGCATTTTATGGGAACCAATGTGAGTTTATTCCGAGCCCTTGACGCAGTTCTATATATTGGCTCAAGGCCACAGTAAACGCATGGAAGTTTTATGATGGACGTTTGTGGAAGGCATTACCAAATTTGACGCCTCAGTGACAAAAATATGTCCGACGTATTTCCCTGTGCAATATGTTTTGTTACTTGTACACATGGTAGTGCTATTTCATGTGAACAATTTTACACGTGTTTGTTAGAGCCATTTAGGCAGGACACGCTGAACTTTCTGCGGACACCCGGTGTCAACGTCATTGATAGTAATTTACGAAGTCAGAATCGTAAATGGACTCTTTGGTTACTAAAGGTTTTTCATGATTATGGAATGTCATTTATGTCTCTTGTATTTGTATTTGTAACAATTTATATACAGAGTTTAGTCAGAATTAAGACTGCTTGGTGAATCTCATTGATTCGATGTTGCCAGCTGAGAACATTGAGGCAATGCCATTGATAAATGTAGATACAATATGTATTTACATTACTCTATCAAATCTAAACAACACTAATACGTTTATCAGCAAATTGCATGGCATTTTAGCTAAGAATATTGACCTATAATTACCACGTAATATATCTTGCATGTGATCAATGACATAGAGGTAATTATGACACCTCATATTTTCATTTACAAAAAATAATTTCGTGAGGTTAGATGGCATTATAGTTTAGAATGGTAAGAGTTTGGTTGACATATATAAAGTAGTACGAGTTCGCCAAACGAGATCACACCGTGATTTTATTATTTCATATCTAGCAGAGTTCGGATGTGGTCGATTTTATGTAAAGATAATAAATAAATCGGAATGCCACATTCATATGAAATCTAATTGCACATTAGATGTGTCGTGAATGCCACTTAAACCTCATGTTTTCCGGCTATATATTCAAGTTTATACCAAATAATTATGTCATAATTAATGTCGAGAATATATGATTTATCCGAAAAGACTTTTAAAAATGTTCTTTACTAAACTCCAGCCAACCATCTGACTCAATCCTTTACGTCAAGCTCAATAAATGTTTCCCATAAAGAACCCTCACGTAATTTATTGTGGGTAGACGGGTAGGTCCTGTCGCAGGGGCAGCCACATATAAAAACCGGCGGACGCCAATGTCGTCCCCCCTCCCATCTCGGCGTCTAGCCTGGCGCCACCCCTCGTAGCTATTTTCCCGTCTGATTGAGATGGGATGTACATGTTGTACGTTCTAGTCTGTGTGGACCAGTATGTGTTGAGAGTATATACATGTAGTCGTCTTTGTGCGGGGAGACTTAGATAACTTGTATCGTGATTTATGCCATATGTTGTCAGTGTAGAATGTATATTGTGGAGACATGACGTTAGAGCTTCGAGGTGCTGAAACACGTGATACCGACATATTTTCGTTGAGTTTTGAAAAAAACCCAACGTTGTGACTATTGATTAGGAAAATAAACGAAATCAAAGATAACCCTTTATCAAGACCTTTTGCAAATATATATATAAGTGCTTAGAGAAGAAGCGCTTTGAGAATGCATGTTTGATGGACTATAGGGCTATATAAATACCCATATAATAAAAATAATAATAATAATAATTAGAGGTATAACAAATGATTATTTAGTAACAGTGGTAAGTAGATTCAAACGGGGGATGATTATCAGAATTGAATGGCATTTAGAAGTGATACACAGAAGGAAGGGAGGTTTATGGATGTCAACTTCTTTATTATGGGGAACACAAAGTTTCGGAGTAATATCCTTACTCCTTTATCAGATGAATGAATGGTATGAGGCAGATATGTTCATATAAGAACAACAAAAGTAATAAGACAACAAAGATGTAGGCTAAACATTTTAAGCCAACATTTGGCATGGTTATATTTTGGTGATATGTTTTGAAAAAATAAATAATAATAATATTTTGGAGATTATTTGTATCTAACTAGCAAGTTTATGTTGAGGGCCCCTTCCCCTTTTTATGAAAATAGATGAATAAAAAAAATAATTAAACAAACCATGCCTGCTCTTAAACAGTCATACTGGATTAATGCGTTTTAACTTACTACTTTATTTTTAAATTGTCATTTTCGTCATCATGGTTCTGGTATAGAATTAATTATAGCCATGGTGCAGCTCCATCATCTGCCTGGTCAGATTTTCCCGTCGGCTTTCTGACTGGTAAAGTTTGTAAACAAGGAATGTGACCGTTATTTGTCCTGGCGATGGGTAGGGCTTTATCTGAAAGGACTTTACGTTAGAAATGTTGACACAAGCATAGTCAGTTAGATGTCTAATTGTGTTTATATCTTCAAGATGGTTGTCTAAGAAACACACAATGAACAGGCGGGTCGGGTAAGGCAAACATAAGCTTGAGCGAGTAAACAGTTAGCTTACCGTCTCCCTCACATCGTACAGAAACCCTGTACACCAGTCCGTCTACCTGCGAGCGCTCGCTCGTTGTTTCATACGCCGTCAAAAGTTTTGTGTGGCTATAACATCGCTCCCAACTGCTTTCATTTGTAGACATATGGTGTGTTTGTGTCCTTAATTACCAGATTTCTACGATTCTACGCAAAGATTGCATGTTGAATGAAATGATTTATTGCCATAAGAACAAAGATGTGAAAACTGAGGATTTAAAAATATCTCTGACAGTGATACAGATCACCTTCTTGTTGTTAGGATTTGACTGATTGACAAGAATATTGATCACAGAAATGCGAATAAAATGAATAGAAATACAAAGCAGCTTTGATAGCTAATTTCCCCCCTCATTACAATTGTTAAATTCTTAAAGGCATCCTTTCGTTTGGAAAAAGATTTTTTAGTTCAATCATATTTTTATAGTCTTTATGAAATTAGGCTCATTTAGATTTGAAAAGACAACTTAGACATGCAGGGTTCGATGGGGTAAAGGGAGAGTTGAGGATGGTGAGGGATGAAGGAGAGACCATATGGTATCTGTCTCAGAATGAAACAGGAATAATTCATAAATCTATACAGTTGTGAGTGACTGGAGTTTAAGGCCGCACTGAACAGCAAAAAATAAGGTTTGTTTTATTTTCTTTTTTTTAAACCGCTGTCAAATTTCGAGGTATCAGAAGACGGTCCGTGAAAACAATAAGAACAGCAATGGTTTTAATTGGTCATGTCAGTTTTGGAAAGTATTGTTAACTTATTTTGCTGTTCGAGGTATTCGGTGTAGATTAACGTGCAGATTTAACATATTTATGCTACGCTGTAAAATTACTCCATTGACATAGGCGAGACAGTTTGGCTGTCTACACCAATATATCTAGGCATCTCTGAGTTCAGAGCGTTACCCAAGAAAGGTCAGTGATTTGTCATGTTAGATAATACCAGAGTACCGGAGAGAGACTGGTTGGATCTGGAGACTCCCGTAGGAGCAGATTTCAGACAAGATACAGACATCTGTGAGAAGCTGAATGGCGACTAGGACTGGTTGGTCACACTCTGCGACTTACTTGACATATCACAATCAAACAAGCTGATTTAGCAATTTTAATGATACTTTAGTGAGGGTCACAGCTGTGAGCTGTTTACCTGGGGCTCACTTCAAGATCGTGTTTGAAGTTTGAAAACATCGGGTTCGCTTTGTCCATTTGTGTGCAGAGTCAGCCGACGAG